TGTTTGCTGGCACGGTGGCGACCCGGATCGCCAGGCTCTGCTGGCTTGCGGACCAGGAGTCAGACAGTGGAGCCCTTTACCATGGGTTCTCAGCCCAGTTTTCTGCATCCTGGTGGCTGGTGCTGGGGCTGTCAGCCCTTTTTCACCAATATGCGGACAGATCCGAGGTGTTCCATCAAAAATGAGCACAGGTTCCTGTGTTGCACCAGCTCTGACCCTGCTAGCAGGCTCATCTCCACGCGCCAGGGCAGAGCTGAGCAAAGGCTGGCAGTTCCAGCACACCGTAGCCACGCACGGCAGCATTTTCTGCCAGTGCAGGAGCAGGCAGCTCCCCGGGGCTGGCAGCCTCCAGCTGTGTCCTCAGCTCCCTCACCTGACCTGAACTTTGTGGCCGCAGTTTGTCTTGCTGACCTCCGTGACCAGTGCTTGGTTTCCAGGTTGCGTCTCACTTTCCTAACTGCCATGTACCCTTTTTGTCCTCACGTGCTTATCCTCTGGATTTTATCTTTTTCTTCTCTGCAGGGAGCGGATGCGCCAGTCTGCTATGTTTGAGCTGTGCCAGGGGATGCACCAAATCAGCCTGCAGTTCGTTCGCTTGCAGCTCAGCTTTGAGGAGTACACCATAATGAAAGTTTTGCTGCTGCTGAGCACAGGTAAGTTAGGTTCCTAGTTACATGGGAGTACTTGAAAATATTCCAACTCACAAGGAGGTGCAGTGGTTTTAAATGGTGTAACAAAAGAGCCAAATTGTTTCCAGAAGGACTGCAGGAACACCTTATGTATGTGGCATAGGACTTATCTGCAGATCTTGCTCTCCGTTAGCATGGGAAGGGTCCTTGTGCTTTGAACGTCTCGTGTGGATAGGAAGGGCAGGAGTGGCAGGACAAGGGGCATTGTCCCCCTTCTCTATGTGGGAACGGCTCGATTCAGCCAGGCATACCAAGAAAATGCAGCTGCTGCCTTGTCCTGCACTGTGGGGATTTGGGATAAACCCTGACTCAACGCTCAAAGCCACTGGTTTGGGTGACTTAACAGCACCTTCAAGATCAAAAGATGCACTGAACTGAGAGCGGTAAGCCCTTCTGCAGTGCTCTGAAAGTTTAATAAATGACAGTGCACACTTTATTTTTCTCTCGAGTGTCATGCTTTGAGGTTTTTTAAGATAGGAAATTACATCTCGGTGTTCATTACAGCACCGTGTAGTAATTAGCAGATCATTTGATCTTCTCATGCTAAAAAATATTGAAAAAATCCCAGTCCCAGTACACTTGTAGACATACACAGGCAGTTTGTATGTTACTTTTCCAGTGGTCTTGATGAAAAAGCCAGTTAGTGTAAACAAATTTTCTGTCCGTATAATCACGTTCCTTTTTTGTGGGATTCACTCAGTGCCATCACCAGGAGATAACCTATCAGCCTGACTCAGGCGTTCCTGATGTCACCTCGGTGAGCTCACCAGGCAGGAATTCCCCTGCAGGAATGAGGCTGGATGTGGCCCTGAGCCGGGAGGGGAAGAGCAGGAGATCAAAGGGGCTGCTGCCCTTACGCTTGCTTTCACTTGCAAGCTATCAGCAGCGGGAAGCAAGCCCAAGGGTGCCGTCAGCAGGGCCAAGGGCTGCCCGGGCTGTGGCTGCACGGAGCAGAGCAGCTCCCAGTTGGCGGTGAGCGGAGGCCAGCACGCCCTCTGAGATCCTGTTGTCTTCTCCCACTGGGTTGTCACCCCATTGTCCGCCCCAGCAAGCTGGCAGAAGAAACAAATGGCAGGCAACAGGTGTCAGTGATGTTGGAGGGTGCCCACTACAGGACTCGAGAGCGGGCTGATGCAGACACCCAGGAGAGTCCTGAAGCCCCAGCAGTGGCCTGGGCATGTTGGCTGCAGGCAGGGTTAGGTGCCTGTGAAGGGGTCTGTGGCATCCAGCCCCGCCGAGGGGCAGCCCCTCCAGGCGAGGCGGTGGGACAGGCAGGGCACTTTCTCCTCTCCCTCAGACCTCGCCTGTCCCACCCTGCCAGTAGCGCTGCGGTTAAAGTGCTTGCCTTTGAAGGAGGAGGTGAAGCTACAGTTCCCATCCCGGCTGGAAGGGATTTGGATCTGCTAACAGAAACCTCCTGGGGCTGTAAGTTTCTCAGGCTCGGCTGTCTCACTCTCTCCATCCCTCCCACTGAAGCCATTCCTGCTCCCCGGAGTGGGGCAGTGACTGCAGGGGAGAGACGGCACTGGGCAGGAGCCCTGCAGGGCTGACCCCACGTCCCCCTGCTGACACGGATCCTCCGGGACCTGACAGTCTTTCAGGAAGCAGCTGGTGGTGCTTAACTTGAAGTGCTTGGGGGATGTAGCTCCCAAAATGCTCTCAGAGCACATCTAGAGTGGTGATGTGGCCCCGCTACTTTCTAACCAGCCCTAAAGGGTGAGAATATTTAGAAAGAGAGCCTAAAGGCATCCTAAAAACGTGGCATCATTTCTTTAAGATAGGTATTTATTATTCTGCCCTCTTGAGAGTGTTAAGTGATGACTCTGCTAGGCGAAATCAGCCTTGCCAATTAACTTCGTCTAGCTGGTTCCCTTTGAAACGCACACGCTGGTCACTAGAAGACCTTCTAAAAATAATGTGTTTGGCAAGAATCAGGATAGTTATGTTGAGGGAGAGAAAGGGGGGAGAACAAAACAGAAATGAAGGCAGTGATAAAACCCAGAAAGTGCCACATGAGGAGCAGCAAACCTAGTTTCTAACGATTGCACCTTGATACAACGTTACGACAGAAAACACCAGGTTCGTTTTCATTTTTTATTGAACCATGTGATGAGCAGAGTACAAGTTATTTTGAAACTTTCATGATGACCACATCAAGGAAGTTTCACTCCATTTACATGTGGAAGAAACCACACATTACAACTCAATTGTTTTCTTGCTTTCCACAGACCATAGATTTTGGGAACTTGCCAAAAGCATTGCTGCATTTAATAAGTAAAATCAGAAACACTGGGCAAACCTCCAGAATTTCATGTTTTGCTTGAGTTCTCTTTATTTGTGGTCTTTCTTTCTGTCTTAATAATCTGGCTGGGGTGACGGTATAATAATTTTCAGACAGAGCAGTAAGATGCATAGTAGTAGACAAAGAGTGGCTGTAGCTGTCTTAAGCAGCATTTAGGAATACAGAATTGTGTTATAGGAACTGTAAAGCCCTGCATTTTGTGTAAGGGCCACGGTATGCTCCAAGGGCTTTACTCATTTTGATTGATGTCTCTATATTCATTTGGCTTTAACTGAATTGGCACATCTGTTTCAGACAGTTTCTTTTTTCTGTCAGCCGAGCAACTGAGATATTTGGCATCTCAAATTTAAAATTTAAATAGAAAAGAGCAAAGGCAGTGTTTACCAAGTGGTGGGCAGGCTGGAGCTGTTACCTCCTAGGCTTTTTCTAAAGATTCCTCCTTGTGCCCCTGTCGAGCACTTGGTGGTCGCAAGTCCTTGCTGCTCACGTGGTGGTAGAGCTCCTCCTTGTTTCCCATTGCTAAATTGCTCTGGTAGATACTGGTGACACAAGACAACCAGTGCTTTTTCTTAAAGCCTCTCTGCGTGAGCAATTTGGGTGGTTGTTACATGCTTATTATGTCATTACAGTGAGATAGAAGGCAGTCTACAGGATTTCAAAGAGAAAGGAATGGACGATCAAAACAATTTCTGTCAAGATGTTAAGTCAGAGTAAGCTAAATTGGAAGATCACCCCTTTTTCCTTTCCTTTTTTAATAAGTAACTTCCCATTCAGTTTACTCTGACATACCTTTACAGCTCGCTTAGAAAATAAGCTCACTCTGTACAGTGTAGTATTTTATTTTCCTTCCTTGGACTAGAATTGAGAGAGACAGAATATAAAAATATTTGATGGTTAAGCAATACTCAACCAATACAGGTATTAAAATTTCAGAACATTTTGTGTAATGTTGTTAATAACCTCTTCAGGAGTTTCCTAGAGACCTGATCCTTTAAGCTATTCGTCTTTTTTTTTTTTTTTGCAGAACCCACTGGAGTGCAAGAATATTTGCAATCTGTAAAGAAACCATGTATTTGCTTTTGTAATTAGCATTGCTGAAATCAGCTGTAGTAGAAAGTATCAAAACTCAGTTTTTAGTCCATTTGTGAAATGATTCCTTTTGCAGATGCACGCTTTGATAGGACACCAGAAATGCTTGTGTTAAAGGCTGCAAACGTGTGTCTGGTAAATCCCTGGGTCAGGATGCCTGTTTGGAAAATAGTCTTCTGTTTCACGCAGAATAATGACTCCGTTTGTTCTAGGTGTGATGCAGACGCTTACTAACGCTCAAAGAAATTTTAGATGGTACTTGATGTCACTTGTTCTAGCATTTCCACACGTAACAGCTGTAATTCTTCCCCTCCTCCCATAAGTGTGGGAAATCATTCAAGAATGATAAATCACATCTTCAAATTCTAAAAAAGTATTCTCGATCCATCTGGGGTTTTTATGTTGTTGTATGTGTGTGTGGTTGGGTTGTATTAAAAGCAGTTTGAGCATGAGGACAGCATGTGTCATATTTCTAAGACGCTGTCCTGTGCCTCAGCTAAGCAGTCTGCAACCACAGATCTGCAGAGGATGCCTGAATCACTTGAAAATCTGTATGATGTTGTTGATTCCATACCAATGTCTGTAAAATTATGGACGTTACTTCAAGGTTTAATTCTTTCATACATTAACTAGTGTAACTTTTTAAGTATGCACATCAAAAGAATAAGCAATACAGTTAATATTAATGTAAGACTGTCTTTTTAATGACAGTTCCCAAGGATGGTCTCAAAAGCCAAGCTGCATTTGAAGAAATGAGGGCAAATTACATTAAAGAACTAAAGAAGATGGTAACTAAATGTCCAAGTAACTCTGGGCAAAGCTGGCAGAGATTCTACCAACTGACTAAACTCCTTGACTCCATGCATGATGTAAGTATAACTCCTCAGGGAGTGCAGACAAGTTAAGCAAAAATCTCTCTGTTAAGGTAAACCAGTAGTTTTTAATTGTGCTAACTCACAGGGAGAAAAAAAAAGAAAACGGAACCACAACACATTTTTAAAGGAACATCTGAGAGAAGTCGTTAGCAGACAAATTTAAGGACAATTGCCAAGTAAAATAAGAAAATATAAGTCATTAAGGGCTGGGTCCTGCTGCCTGCTCCGCTGTTGAATGGTAGTGTGTTCTCTGTGATTCACTGAAGGTCAGAGGCTATTCAACAGGAGGAGTGGTGTTAGCTCTGGCCCTGTTAGACACGGTGCGAGTGCACCACGCAGAGTATCCCTGAGTCACTTCTCGCTGAAAGGTGCTGGATCAGTGTGTCACGCATCTAACGTGCCTGGTGTGCTGATAAATGTTGAATTAATTTGCTGATCTTTTACAGCTGGTACTCCAATAAGGATGACTTTAAAAGATATTTTTAGACTTTGAAGCCATCTTGGGTATTTGAAGCTTTGACTGAGCTTTTCGAGTATAAGATGCACGGTATTATTAGGTTGTTACTACCGTCCTGTCTCATTCCAGCATGAGGTGTTTGTTTTGTATGCGTCGGGTGTGAGATGTCATTAATGACACGGGAAACTACAAGTTTAGTCCTGAAATGACAAGGCTATTGGTGCTTTGGCAAAAAACGACTTGGAAGGGTTGTGGTGGGTGCCTGGTGCATGGGACCAGCTCGTGATTTCAGAGCAGGTGTGTAACGTCGAGCTGTTGAGCCCGTTTCTGGCTGATAAAATGGTAAGTGCAGAACGCTGCTTCTCCAGACGTGAAGAAGCATCCCACACCCTCCTTCAGAGGAAACCCCTCTGAGGAAGCCAGTGGCCCAGCTCTGCTGATGTCCCCAACCTGAGGGATCTCCAGTGCCCCATGTGAGTGCCCATCCACTCTGAAGCTGCGGTGCAGTGAGTGACGGGGCTCTTGGGGCCAGAGACAGAGCTTTAGTCAGGTCTGGGTACAACAGGGGGTTGTCCCACGAGCAGAGGCTGAAGCATGGCAGCTCGCAGGGGTGACCTCCCAGTAACAACTGGTAAATGGCAGCAAAGGAAGAAGCTGGTCTGCTCCATCCTGGGTGGGCAGGAAAGTAAATTTGCTGTGTGAAGGAACGACAGCACTTGCTTTCAGAGCCTGCATATAAATGTACTTCTTTGTACTCGACTTAAATTTCATTTTTGTAGAGACAGTACAGTACAGTGCACTTCAGGTCAAATCTGTATAAGAGCCCGAGGTCTGTTTACAGAATGTACATATGGAATTATTTTTCAAATATTGTTCTGTTGTTCATTAAAACATTGAAAATCTTGGTGGGAGGCAGGGAGAGTATTATTAGTACTGCAGTAACAGCTCATTCTTCGGAGATCGGGTTTCACTTGCTCTGTGCCAGCAAAGGAAGTTGTAGTGTTTCAGTGGAAAGAAAGGGGATGGGTGATAAAATCATTTGCAAGATGTTCACATCTGAACCTCAGGGCAGTTAGCAAACCCCTGCATTTAGGTGGTTTGCTAATCCTCTTGCGAATAGGCAGCGTCTGGGATTTGCTTTTAGGTGGATGTGTTTGTGTGGCTGAGGTGACGGGCTGGTAGAAGCACGCTGGCTGGGAATGCCACAGTGTCCTACAAACACTTTCCAAAACAGCATTAACCACTGGAAGCTGAACTAGCCAGAGGAGAAGCTCCTTCAGATTGCTCTTGTGTTTTGTTTAATCTTTAATTAAGCTATTTTTGTGTTACTTTTGTTTTAATAGAGCGCTCTATTACAAAGGACTTTGTAAAGAAAGTCCTATTGTCAGCATTCTCCTTTTAAAAGACCAGTTGTCTGCACAACAGTGCTTTCTTTCAGAGGTGTTATTTGAGATGCTCAGCAAAGACACTTGTTTATTTTTCCTCTCTAAAACTGATTATTTGCTTCTCGGTGTTTGAAATCCACTGGAATACATTTAGAGAGGTGATAACATTAATGAGAAGTGAGAATTGCTCCTCTCCCCCCGCTGCCAGGTAGGGCAGCATTTCTCCGTTCTGTCCGTGTAAATGCAAATTTTCTGCTCAGTCCCTTCGTATAGGAGGAACGCTTGTTCAGCCGTCACCTGTGTATTTTTAACTTACTCCATTATAATTTTGGAGGATCAGAATAGATTTGGTGCTGAGCAGTCTAACTGGAGCTGAAGTCCCATGTTTATATGCGGCCATAGCTACAGTGTTGGCATTTGCAGCAGGCGCCCGAAGGGACTTGTGCACAGTTCATGCTTATTCAGTCCTCCCGCTGCCTCCAGCTTTTTCAGCAGAGCAGAGCAGGGCAGGGCAGGGCAGCATCTCGCCATTGTGGAGTTCACTTTACCTGAGCGAGGCAGCTGATGATAAAGGAATACTACTTCTTTGCACCTTCACGCTTCCTTCTATCGACCTTATTTTTAGATAGACTTTCTGAGGGCTCCGTGAAATGAACCACATGGGAATATCGGGTTACAGGCTGCTTGGCTTATATAACGTGAGGAAGAAAAAAAAAAAGAGGAAAAAAACCAAGATGGTTTTATATTGCTCTGTGCTGTAAATCATTCATCCACATAGCGAACGTATGTGCAGGTGAGAAAGTGCCGAAGTGAGGGAAAAAGAAATTTTCAAGAAGGCCGAGTAGGCACTTGGTTACTGGAAAAGATGAGCAGCTTTACCTAATGATCCACAGAGCCTCTAGGCGCCAAAAGCAAAACTGAAGTATCAAGAGATGGAAATCCATCCCAAGCAGACAAGACAACCATGGTGCGTGTGCACACCTGCAGTCAGCCCTAGGAGCATGTCTGCGGGCTGCGGCGTGCCCGGCATCACCGTGTGTCTGCGTGGCACTGCGTGCAAGCAGTGGCTGCTGACACAGTCGGCACCAGCTGACAGCATCGACCAGGTTGCACAGTGTGCCCTTCCCCTCCCTCGGCGCGAGATGACGAGGTGAGGCTGTTGCCATTTACTTGCTGTCGTGCCACGGCTCAGCTGTGCTTTCGTGATGGACACGGCGTGGGTAGGGTCTGGGAGCACTGTGGGCAACAGCACCATCAACCTCTTTCCTGCATGGAGGGCTTGTGTTTCTTTGGACATGGCTGGCTTGCTTTCCTCATTCCAGGAGGCAGCGTTAGGTGTTGAGAGGCGCTGCGTAGCGGGGACTGACTCTAGCCTGTCTCTACCCAGGACAGAAAGGTTTCAGGCATGTGCCCATGAGGGCCGTGGGCATTTCAGCCAGGGGTACGCGTGCAGGGCTTGGTTGTAGGTGAACTGCATTATGTGATCAGACGAATGGCATGCAGGAACATTAGAAACAGATGTACTGCACATGGTATCAAAAACTTCATTTGGATCCTCCTCAGCATCTCCTGTTGGCTTTGGCAGGAAGGGTTGTATCTTGCATGGCAAGCCTCATTTCATATAGAGACTTTAGTGTATGGTTAGGCGGTTTGCAGAACAAAAGCTGAGTTTGGTTTCAATCTGGCTGATACTAAACAGACTTCGAGTTAAGAGGGCTTTTGTTTCGATGCCATGACATTAAACCCTAATGTGAACCTTCCCCTTGTCTTGGCAAGGCACAGCACTGCACTGTCATTTGCTTGTTGATATTTTCTGCCAAACAAAAATAAATTCTTTAAGGCTCATGCTGCTGAATAATTAATTTTTTATGGTTCCTGAAGGGAATACTTTATAGCTGAGGTGGATCTTTCCGTAGGCTGAGAGAGCCAGGATTATACTCGCTGAGAAAGCTGACAGGGGGGAGAAGGGCGAGCTCCTCGAGGGGCAGGTTTGCAAGGAACGATGCAGTGGATGCAAACGTGCCTTTGCAGGTGCTCGATCCCACAAATACGGAGCCACAGATGAGCCCCTCAGCTGTTGCCAGCACCTTTGGGTGCACTTCCCGCTCCTGACTTGCTGAAGTTGTGTCCCGCTGCTGTGAGCTGTTCAGTCCCAGTGCCTAAATTCTGCGTGTCAGCATTTCTCTGCTTGCTGAGAGGCAGGAGCCGATCCCCAGTCCCTTGTGTGGCCACTGCAAAACCAGCAGTGATGTAAGGGCACACGTGTTGCAGCTGATAAGCGTCTGTTAAGTGAGAAATTCGTTCCCAGATCTTTAATGGAAACAGTGGGCTGCTCTCAGGGTCGTCTTGCTCCGTTTGTCATGGTTGGGTCTCTTCTTTGTGGTACAAGGTGTTTGTTGGAGGGCAGAGTCCTCTGTTCCCAACAGAACAAGGGAGACTTGGCCCAAAATTTACCCTGGCTAAGGGCTCAGGACGTTTCATTGGTGTATGATACTGTGGGTTCACACGCAAACTCCAGCTATGCTGAGTTCAGCTCCGGTTCCTCCATGTCATGTCCAGCTGTCAAGTGCTAGACTACCTGCAAGTGCTGCGGTTTCTGTGTCCATGTTTCTATGGACAAAAAAAAAAAAAAAAAAAAAAAAAAAAGAGTGCAGTTCCTAAATGGGATAAATGCAGCTGTCCAGGCAGAACAGGGTTGCTGTCTACTCTGGTTAGATACTTTTAGTGCCTAATCCATATGCATTTCATCCTCCCTTAATTCCTTGCTGGCATGAGGTAAACTCACTGCATAGCTGGATGCCAAGGCTTCCTTCCTTGGACTTGCCTCACTTTCCCCCTGCACTGTGTGTGAAGTTTTCCTCTTTAGGAAGTTTTTGGAGTGTCATTTTGGTAGGAGAATGCTGGGGTTTTGTCAGTAGTAGCTGTAGCTAATAACAGGAAAAACTACGTAGCACCATGTTGTTATCCTACTGCTGCCTTAATTGCTGTATCAGTAGGCTTCAACGCAAAGACGCTCCTGATAGAGGAGTGCTGTGGGCTTTCATACCATGCTCAGAGACTGGGGGAGATCCTGGAGTCAGAAAACTTAGCGCAGAAATGGACACCCTTGCAAATGAGACCATTCTTACCACTTCTGGAAGTACGAGGGCATGGCGAGAGTGCCAAACCCAAATCGATTATTTCTGCTGTAAAAATTCTGCAAGTGCTCAAAGGTCACTGTAACTGTATTAACTTCAGGGACTTCATTAACAGATTCATTTTTTCTAATTACGAAGAACAGTATGGGTGGAAAAAGTTAATTTTATGGAAACCCCACCCTAGTAACAGAAAATGAAGTTTGATTAATACTTCTGTTTCTCAGAGGCATTTAATACAGCTCACAAAACGTGAAGACTTGATTAAGTAAAACTCTGAGAAGTACCAGATCTGCTGCAGCCTTGAGAAGGTGTAAGTGCAGCACCCTCTCTGCAGGGCAGTGCTGGCAGGGCGAGGAACAGTTCGTGAGTGAAGCGGCGAAGGGCTGCAGCCAGCAGCTGATCCACGTGCCTGGAAGCGAGCTGTCCTGCCTTGGAGCAGTCGGGGTGACAGGGATGGGGATGTACCAATTCCCAGCTGCGTGTCCGCACCCCTGCAGCCCAGCTCAGCGCAGGGCTGTGGGCTCTGTCCTCGGAGGTGCCCAGCATCTGAGAGCTGCTGCCCCAGGATGTCCAGGTTGTGTCCTGAAGAAATGGGAGTTGGTTTAGTCATGGTCTTAACTGCACTGACTGCGCTATGCTAAGGCTGTAACTCTTAAAAATGTGCTTTGCTAATTGAAATAATCAGAGACTGTGGAAGTAGGCACGTTTCTGGCCACTGTTGCACCAGTTGTGAAAGCAGCGGTGCTCTGAATTGTAGTGGTGCCGTTTGGGCTGCTGTGGTGGAGGTGGTGTCAGCATTTCTTGTGCAAGCTGCAAGAAGCAGAGGGTGAAAATGGTTTGGTAGAAGGCAGTCAGGAGCCTGCAGAACACCAAGATTTTATAGTTCTTTGAAGAAGAAAAATCAGCAGTATATTTGATCTAGAAAAATCGTAAGCCAAATGTAGAGGTGCCAGACAGCTTGCGTATCTTTCTAATTTAGAGACCACTTGTAACCTCTCGTGTATCAGTCACTGTCACCACGCTGACAGAGCTTACATCTTAGAAAAGAAAGCAAACTTTTCATTTCCTTACGGAAGAGGGAGCTTCTCTTTTAAAGCAAAAGGCTAGCTAACTTATTTACCTGTTGTAAATCACACTAACTGATAAAATATAGTGCCAGATGAATGCTGCAGAGGCAGCTACTGAAATTTCAAACTAATGTTGCCTATGGAAGCTGAGTTTTTCATCCCTCCAGTGCATCTTCATATCAAGGCTGCTGGCAATATTTAAAAACACATGAATACGCCTGCAGAAAAGAGCACTGCTTGGTTCTCAGCCGTGCTCCTCCCTCCCTTCAGTTACTACTTCTGCAGCCTTCTCTAGCTGACCATCCCATATTATATTATTATATGTCTCTGATTCTCTTGCAGTATGTATTTTTTATTTATAAATTATATGATTCTCTCATATTAATTCATTTTTTTAAAGAAAAGCTAACAACAAAAACACCCCTGGTGCTAGACCCCCAGTCCACACAGCTGCAGTTGTTCTAACCAAGTCCCGTGGTCCTTGCTACACGTGGTACAGATGCTTCAACTCTGAGTTCTTATTGCTTTATTTTTGTTGTTGTTGTTAAAGTGATTGATTGTTATTAAGTATGTTAAAGTTGGTAACTTTGCTTAAGAAAGGAAATAGAGGACCAAAAATTTTAGAGGACTGACTAGATAGAGAATACATTATTCTTAAGGCTCAAAAAAATTATTACGTGATAGGGAGTTCTAGATTTTTGTCCTAATTGCTGGGTAATTTAACCTTTCCTCCCCTCTCTGGTGACACTCGTGCTATGATTATGAACTATGAACTGTGCTATGAACTGTGGATCACATCCTCTGTGCTCCCCACTGGACAGCTACCTTGTTTATTGTGTAGAACAGATTATGCTCTCATGATGTTACTAATTTTCAGTTTGCCTTTATTCCACGTATCCATCAGCCATTCATGTATACTTTATATGTTACAGCTAAAAGCTAGCTAGGAAGGGCACAATTAATAGTTTCTAAGTAGGCTTTCCTGTGATATCCATCCCACTGCATTCAGAAAAAAAAAATCTGCACAAATTGGCGTGGCGCAGGAATTAGCTTGAATTGACAGAAGGTGAGCCATCGGCACAGCACGGCTGGTTGGCAGGGGGACAGCGATGACCCCAGCCCCTCTCTCAGGTTAGGTGATGTGGATGAAGTGCTTGTGTTCAAGTCATGGTCAAGGCTGTGGGATGTGAGGCTTGGTTTGCCTGGTGTTTGAGGACACAGGCAGGAGGATACAGTGGCTGTATACCAAGAGTTTCCTTCATTTTTGTGCATGTTTGGCCTATTTTCTGCATATGGTATAGGCAAGAAAAAAAAATTTAATGGCTAAAGCTAAACCCTTGAACATCAGCATTTTTTCCTTGAAAACCAAATTATGTCTGTGCTGCTTATTTAGCATGCATCTGTTTTAATTAATTAGCATTGCCTCATGACATGCCAGATCATCAGGAACGAACTAAGCAATAGCAAACAGCCTCTCGCAGTGCTCCATAGCAGACGGTTGTGTGTCTGAGTGGTCCCAGCACTTCCTTGGTGGTGTTCATAAACTGCTTATATGTTTGCCAGAACAGCTGTGAAAGTCCTGAAACTAAGTAGTAAGGTCTGGAGCTGCAGGAAGGTAGTCTGTTGTTGCCCGTATATTTTTATTTCTTTTTCAGCCTTGCCGAGGTACACTTTTATTTGCTGTATCTTTAACTGGGGCTTTACTGCAGAGTACAACTCTGCATGTTCAGAACTGAAACAACAAACTTGTATTTGATAAACTACATAAGCAGAAATGGTGTAAATCCTTTGTAAAGGCAGAAGGCACTGCATTATTTTTGACTTTCCAAACATCAGTTTGCAATTTCGTGTGGAGACAGACAAAAAAAAAAAAAAAGTAAAAATTAACTTTGATTCATGTAGTGCGGTTAAATTTCCCGTAAGGTATAGACCAAAACAAAGACCTGGAACTGACAAATGAGAAGAATAAAACTGGAGATGAGGTAGAAGCCAGACTGTATTGGTGCTTTTAAGATGTGCATTGTTTTTTTCCACACACCAAAAAGCTGATGCTATCTGTATGCTATTTAGTGTTTTAACTTGCATTCCTGTTGCTCTTGGAGACCACCTTTATTAGGATTACGAACAGCTGTCTGTTGCCATTTGGGACAGCTATGATATGGTTTCACGTGTGAAAACCTCTGCTGCCCAGAGTAAGCAGAAGGGCCGCTGCTGCTAAGTGTAAGGTACAGCTTTGTTCTGCTGGTGGTCCTACAGTAGTAACTCAGTACTTGAAGTATGATAGGAAAAAAAAGTTTCTTTCTCTGTCATTGAAGGACTCCTTAGAAATTTTTATCTTATCTTTCCAATTCTCAATATTATGCTTAATTTACTGAAAGTGTGCTGCTACCAAAAATAGAGAGCTTTATTAAAAACAAAAAAAAAACTCCTACCTCCCTAAATATTGCCTCTCTAGTTTAATGAGAAGTAAGCAGAAAGAAAAAAAAAAAAAGTGTAATGTGTATGTATTGAAAATGTATTTATATATGAATAGAAATATCAGATGAACCCTCTCATAGGGACTGTGATGCTATAAAGCCTGGAAGGCCTTGGTGTGACATGGCATTTGTTTCATTCAGCTGCTCTGGCAGTTTTTAAGTTGTGGCCCTTGGAGAGTACACTGAAGTTAACCAAATAATTTGACTTAAAGTACGTGTATTCAGCTGAAATGTAAAGAGAGTTACAGCAGTTTATAGTTGATCTTTTCCCTGTGGGCAGAAGGCTTTCTTTTCACAGACACTGAGTACCAATAGTTTTCATGGTGGCTGGTTGCTGTTTAATGAAATGCGAAGTGTAATAATGGTAAAAAATCAGATCTGTGGAGGTATCTGGGTTTCTCCGTGTTAGCTGATTTTGAAATGGTGCCATAGCGCTTTGGGAGTTGAATAATTTTGTTTGCCTTTTGCTTTGTTTGTTTGGAAATGGAGTACCTAGTCAGAATAAGGTACCATTTCTTGGTAATAATCCCTCATTATCAATATTTTCCCTAAGTATTGTTTCTTTCTGTGTTTCAGCTTGTCAGTGACTTACTGGAATTCTGTTTCTACACCTTCCGAGAGTCTCAGGCACTGAAAGTAGAGTTTCCAGCCATGCTGGTGGAAATCATCAGTGACCAGCTACCAAAGGTGGAATCTGGGAATGCCAAGCCCCTGTACTTTCACAGGAAGTGATAGAAAATGTCTTAAATGGAAGAACTTTGCCTTAAGTTTCCCTGTGTTATTCCACACCCATGAAGGACCCAAGAAACCATATTTTAAACATGCTATTTACACTTGTTCAGCAGTCTCTGAATAGTCTAAAATCATACGAAGGGTTTGGGGAATGAAAAACAGTTGACTTGGATTTGGCAAGACCTAGATGTTTGGAAATTACCCCATAACCCTAAAGCATTTAGAAAATGTTCCTGTTCCTCTGGATGAAAAGCCATATCTAGTCAATAACTCTTTGATTTTGATATTTTAACAGATGGAGTTTTAAATATGCCATGTAGTTTCTGGTATTGTTTGCTTGTTTTAAAAGGGTTCAAGAACTAATGAGAACTTTTTAAAGCTTACCCTTGGTTTGCACATAAAACGTAAAGTCAATATGGGGCATTAATATTCTTTTCTTGTAAAAAAAAAAATAAAAACAAACAAAAACTATATATATACACACATATATACACACACACACACAAAACCCTAATGTGTAAAGTAATAACAGAACATTTGGTGTGGAATACTCTGTTATCCCCACCTGTGGCATTTGTTATCCCATGTTATCCCCTCATAGATGATATACACTGTGTTAAGTGTCCATTTACTATTTAATTAAGAAGGATAAGATGCGAAAACAAATGCCCTGGTATCAATTTATAGTATCTATTGTGCTGGCTTTACAAATAATTTTTTGCAGTCTTTTGCTGTACTGTACATTGCTGTATGTATAAATTGTGAAGGACCTGAAATAAGGTGTAAGGAACTTTTGTAAATGAGACAAAAAAAATCTTTAATGGTTAATAGGATGAATGGGAAAGTATTTTTGAAAGAACTCTATTTTGCTGGAGACTATTTAAGTACTATCTTTGTCTAAACAAACAAGGTAATTTTTTTGTAAAGTGAAATGTTCTGCATGCATAATGAACCGTTTACAGTGTATTTAAGAAAGGGAAAGCTGTGCCTTTTTTAGCATCATATCTAATTTACCATCTTACAATATCTGTTGTAAATAACCACACTTAACCTTTTCAGTTGTATTTAAGCCTTTCTATTTTCCTCTATATTTTTTCTCCCTTTTGTCTCGCTTGCAAGTATACGTGATGAGCACATCTTAGAAATCGTGCTTCATATTTCTGTAGGAAACTACACTTGTTGTGTTTGCCACTTTACGAAGGTTTCATTTAACAAGACAAATTACAGTCTCTCCAAAGCTTTTGCCAGCTTAATGATACAGTAAGTTCTTGCCCTCTACTCCCTTTCTCTCTCAGGGGAAGAGGTGAATAAGACATTGAATGATTTTTCTTTTTTTATTACGGTTTCCCAAATTGTTGTTTTTTTTTTTGTTTGTTTTCCTTTGAGTACTGGATACGTAAAACATCTTAAAAGGTCAGATTGTGATTTCAGATTGGGGAGAATGATTTCTGATTATGATGAAAGGAACATGCAGATCATTACAGTAAGTACATTGAACAGACTTGTACTGGTGAGAGGGAAGGTAAGGTACTGATACGGGCAGATTAGCTGAGTAGAATTTTTAGTGAAAAAACTCCAAACATATTTAATTTTGTATGAATTTTTTGTAATAATCAGAACACGTGAAAAGAGAGATGTTCACACTACAAGTTCAACTCAGTTGGTCTGATTTTGTCTCAAAAATGTTTTCTGTAGAATAAGACTGCAAAGAAAAACTTTTTGAGGTGATTTTCACTATTTCACAATTTATAAGCAACTATGAAATTTTGGAGTAGAATAGAGGACAGGTGAACTTTTCTGAGGCTCAACTGTTGCTACCATATGCTGATTTCAATAGAATAGTTTTTCAGAGTCCTAATCTATAGAGTTCGCTCGGGGTGACACTGATGCTTTTGAGCTATAATTTGTCCCTTGACCGGTCAGAATGTAGCATTTCTTTCCAGTGGTGGTCTAATAGGAATTATACACCCTTTCTGAGTCCAAATTTTGAGGTGCACTGAAGACAGTCAGTGCTTCTTGTCTTTTTAAATGACACCTGCCTTATGCAATGGGTAATCTGTAAAGACTGTATTCAGAGAGGTTTTTTATATATAAATATATACATACATATATTATTTGCATTTTGGAAGTCTAATTCATAGGCAGATCTTTAAATACTGACCTGCACAGCAATATGAAAGCCAAACTTCCAACGTGAGATACACAGCATGCAGACTGGTTGTTTACAGTAAAGAAACAGTCATACATCCATCTTTTCATTTACTTTTTTTTAAAAGTCTAAAATAGAAAAACTTCAAAGCCAGGTTCTGGGTGAATACAGTCTGCAGCAGCTTTTTATATTAACAAAGTTACTGCCTCCTTTTCTGTCTCAGAGTAACTTTGCTTGAATAAAATAGCAAAGCCATATTCTACACTTCACTGTTAAATGCCTGTCCCAGTCCAAATTGTTGTCTGTTTGCTCCTATTTTTGTACCTTATTACTTTTAATCTTGGTTTGGTACAATTCATAATTCACAGAAACTTCATATAATTAAACACACTAAATTAGTTTTAAAAAGCAATTTATATCTTTATGCAAAAACGTATGTCTGTCTTTGCAAACAACTGTAAGCAGATTATAATAAATCCTTTACTTTAATCACCTGTTGTTTATGAAACCATTCATTGATTATTATTTTTTGCTAGAGATCATTGAAGTAATAGATACAATTGGATATAGATGTTGTAAGAGGCAGTATTCTCTTATCAAGGACACTTAAGCAGAATAGCCATCACTTTTTTTTTTTTTTATCTAAACCTGTGTACAGCAAAAAAAAAAAAAAAACTTTAAGTTTTTAGCTACCAGGAAGTTATGTTATTTTGAATTTGTTTAGAATGAAATAGGCATTTGTCTCCTGCAAAATAAAAGACAAACGAAAACATCTTTTAAAAGTGGGCTTCTGTTCATTGAGCTAAATTATTTTGTTGTAAGAACGAACGGGGATATACAGCAAGAGCATTGTATACACAGTTAAAAATGTAAAATAGTGTTAATGTACTGCAGTGCGTATTTCAGGAATACTACACACCGTGCGACTGACCAGTTGCATAAAATAAAATAGAAAGACTAAAGTTTGCAATAGCAAAATCTTATTAAAACGATACTTTACAATCAATAATGCAAAAAGCTAATTCACAGGGTGGTGTTTTTCACTGACTTGTTTAAACATTTATGAAATTAAACAATTCTACAGTTAATGCACTTTTAATTGTTTATTAAAGATTTGACTTTTTCTTTTTTTAGAGCAATGTTTTCAGCTGGAGGTCAATGACTCGATAAGATAGCAGTTCTGAGGCCAGGAAGCTCAGAGGAATGTTTAAGAATTCTTGGAGTTTAAATAGATTCCTGGATGAAAAAATAAAAGCAGCCAGCAGTATGGTGTAAACAGTAAAATCTATGCATAATGATGCATTTATAATTAGGGGTTTGCTTCTGTATGTTTAAAGCTTTTTAAATAAATAGAAAATATTGTTTGGTCTTTATGTTAATGTCTGCAAGTACCTATTTTTCTTTTTCTTTTTTTATACAAATTGTACAAATATACATGAATTAAACTGGTTTGATTGCAAGTATTTCTTGCATTGTAATCTCAGATAGCTGCTGGTGCAGTGATATCCTTAGAAACAAGCTTCTGTGTGCTTGGAAACAATATTAAACAACAAAAAGTAACTAACAATGCAATATAACATCTTCAGACATCTAGCAATTTGTTGTTATCAAAGTTTAGTAATCTGGGCTATAATGCACATACCAAGGCTTCAGCCAGACAGCAGCAGCTCACACTGTATAAAAAGAAATGCCCAACCTTGAGGAGTTTGGTTCATTTAACCTGGGTACTTGTGCTTTCCCAACGGTGAAGTGGTGACGCCATTACATGCAGAAACCACATCCTGCTCAAAGAAACAAAACCAGCAGCCTTCATTAGCCAGATAAGTTTGGCTTCAGGATTGAGGTAACCCAGAGCTGCTCTACCTACTGATCAGAGGTAGGATTTCTTCCCTGGAACTATGGATTGACTATTTTACATATACAAGGTTTCTAAAGTTAATGAATCAAATTGCCTTCTCAAGAGTCAGGTCTCTTCCAATTACATTAAGAAAGTTAGAAAGGGAAAGAAAACTTGCTATGCTGGTTCATTCTGGGCACTCTCTTAAATAGCTACTGCAAAGTTCTGCATGAAACTAAGTCTGTGGTGCAAGACCACCACTTAATTGCATTTTTTTGATAGCACGTTACACGAACTTTTTATTGTCAAGAATCCTTGCACCTGCCTTCTGTTTGCTGAATCGTCACCAGGAAAGAATAGTAGAGGATCAGCAGTGTTAAGAAAAAATTCCCATATGCTTAGAAGCAGATGTATCTGTCATATGCTGTTCTAGAAATATAAAATGCTATCACTACTTAAAAACAAAATGAAACATATATTCTGACCTCAAGCTGGGACACTGCTTTCTCTCAGGTATCTGCAGATATTGTTGCATACAATAATAATAAGATAGAAAGTAGTGAAAAATACCCTTTCATTTCAAAGATTTTTGTTAGGTAAAACATGCCATACTGTAAGGTGTCAATGCTTTAAATGTAATGTCAATAAGATGAAGTTTTATTTGGTGCTTACCTGTGGTTACTGGAAGTGCAGATGACGGCATGCTGCTGAATTCTCACGTAGGAAACAATGCCCGAGGCACAGCCAGCCCAATAGGTGAAACTCCAGTGAAGATATCCACTTAAACGTATTTAGCTCTGGTGCATTTACAGCCCACAAGCCCTCTGTCAGCAGTGGATGGAATTTTCTCATGAAATTGCAAACCAGGTAAGAATGGTGAAATGGGTTAAGAGAAGAAATGAAGGAACAGAGCACTGAGTAAAGCAAAATTCTCCCCAGGTCTTTTCTATGATGCCATTACAGCAGCTCGGCTAGCAAGAGCTATAACCAATGTAGCAGAAACACCTATTTTCATTACAGGCCAGATAAATGAGTCCTGAGATGCTTCTCTCAATCCCACTGAAGGGCTGGGCATCAGAAGGAAACCCGCCATGAAGATCAGGGAGAACATGGGCTAACAACACTCAGCAGTCTGAAAACCCCAGGGAGAACAGCAAAGTGCAAATGCCGCCCGGCCAAGGAGCAGAGCTGAGTGCTGTCCAGTGAGTAACACAAATTCATGCTCATCCCAACTAGGCTGGAGGCTCAGCTTTTTCATTAATTATTCGGCAAACACACATTAGACCTTAATCCCTGGGCAGAGGGGTTCAATCTCTGTTCCCACAGAGAAACATCCCACAAAGAAAACATCACTTTGCATAAAACATACAAAACAGCTTACTCCTAAATCACCCTCTGCAATTTGCAGCCTGCACCAGGCATTTGCTACAGGGAATCTCAGCTTTTGAAAACTGAGCCCTACATGCCTCTACGCACAGCAACAGGCACAGAGCAAGGGCAGGGGAACCCTGCCCATGGATTAAGCTGAAACTGTACCCACAGTTGTGACACAAGAGCAGTTCCCTGCGAAGAGGACAGGGACAGCCCAGAACCACTGAGCATGACCACTCCTTCTGCCAGGCTAAAAGAGAAAAGCCCTTCAGCTGGCTTTCTCCTCAGCTGATTTCCTGTCCTCCATCCTGCTTCAAGTTAACTCTGTTCTTCCCAAACCATGTTAACTCTGTTCTTCTGCCAAACCATGGAAAAGAAAGACAAGAGGCATGCCCTAAAGCCCATGTTCAGGAAATATAACAAAGGACTGTAAAAGGGACCTGACTTTCTTAATATGATTTTTATTTCTTAGCATCTTAAATCTCTACTTCCAAACAGTCAGTGCGAGGGCACATTTGCAGAGCTATTCAACAGTGAGAAGGATGCCTGAGATGTGCCATGGCTGCTCAGCTGCACAAATCTGTACTCAGCGTTGGTATGACCAGGGCGAAGTGCAAAACCATATGCTGGGTAGCAGTGACCACAGCTAAATTCCTAAGAGGCAGTGTGGTTAACCTGAAAGCCAGATCAGATCTGGCTCAGCACCACTGCTTTTGGACAAAGTCTGGGACATGAGAAAGTTTGAAATATTATTTACCTTTGCTCAGTGTATCAATTCTCAGTAGAGAAGTTTCCTTCTTCGGGTTCTGCATGGCTCCAGAAGTAACAGGAATCTCAAAACATCTCACCTAAAGGCAAATAGGGTCACAGGGCTGGACTGAAGAGACACTGAGCATGTCTTTTATTCCTTCTCTCTATATCTGCCTTTTTTAACCACCTCAGTTAAAAGAAAAAAAAAAAAAACAAAAACGCAGTAAGAACAGAACTAGAGCTGAGAAATACATTGAGTATTTTGGAAGACAGCAACCAGAACAAGAGCTAACATGCACTGCACGTTTAAAACAGCAGCAAAACAAATGGAAGTGACTTATAAAGCCTCTAAGCTTCAAGTTATCGCTGCTTCGCTAGCTGATGAGCCAGCATACCTAGCTGCCACACCTACTAGCCTAATAACAAGGATTTACACTCTCCCTGTTCTGTCAAACATTTTTAACTAGTAGCAATGAAAACTGAATCTGGCCACACAGACAACATCCTGCTTTCAGAATGACTCTGTTAAGGTCACAAATGAGTTCATGCAAGTCCCAGGCGACATGATAACCAGCCAAAACAGCACTTTGCCATGTGAACAAATCTGAGCAAGGAAACCTGCAGTCTCTTGCTGCATGTACTGCTGTAACTATTTCCTTAATACTGTGTCAAGAAGCAAATTATAGAACTGGATCTCCTTTACAGAAGTCATCTTCCGTGCTTGGGTCACTCAGCCACTGTGCCAAGACAAGAATTGCCTGTGGCAGAGAGTCACTGCTCACATACAAGGAGAATTCACAAAATGAAACTCCTCCAAGCTATGAGGTTTAGTGCTGGAGAGCAGTACTGTCTTGGCCCACCATTGCTCCATCTGGAAATGATTTGTGCATACTCCAACGGTCTATACAGTCTGGGCAAAGGAACAAAATAATGGTATGAAGTTAAATCTTAGGGGGAAAAAAAACACCCCAACCTTAAGGCAGCATTAGCCATTAACTGATTTACTAATCACATTAGTTAGAAAAACTTGCAAGTGAAGTGAGTATCTGCTGTAAATGACTCAAAATCCACAGAGTCCAATCTAACAAATATCCGAGCCTGTACTAACATGCCACCCTGTCAGATTTTCCTGCATCCACTCCTCTGCCTCCCAGAGGGTCTTACTTAAAGGAGAGTAAAATACAAAGATTAATGACAAACCGCACGTAGCATTTTTATCACAGGGCACAGATTTATACACCACAAGATTTCTGGAAGCTTTTTTTAAGATCACAGATAACTCTCTTACTACTCAGATAGTTCTACAAATACCGAGGCAGCTACTTGAGGACTCTGATACTGTGAAGTCTCATTAAGACCTTACAATCTACAATTACGGGGGAGGAAGAAAGGAAAGCTCAAGGAGGAGCCAGACAGATAGACAGCAGATAAAATGCACGATGCCTCAGGATGCACAAGGATCACAGCCAGAGATTCTCTTTTCCTTTTGGCTTATGCTTGCAGTTGCCTATTTTGAGTGACGAAAGTTCCCCATCCATTTTAGAGCCTGTTTGTGACTGACTGCAAAGAGCTGCCAATAATTATTTCATGTCATAACTTACAGAAACAGAGCAAAATATTCTCCAACTAAGGAATGACTGAGGTCAAATAGCAAATGACATTTTATTTCATTTACAGTGATATTTTTGAGTAGCAAAGGAACCATGACATATAGGAGCCTGTAATAAAGGTTCTTGTGTCTTACCTTTATAAAATAAATGAAGTCACACACATAACATAAATGAACGTATTCTTTGAAGACATCTGAAAAATGTCATGTCTTGATACCTATCATTTTACTTACCAATATGTCTGTTCCATATTGTCTGTTCCACTTTGAAATATAATTTAAGTGTCAGCACAATAGCTTTTTTATCCAACAGTGTTTTCCAATCTCAAATAACGTTCTGTTAAAAAGGCTGGATATAGATGTATAATCTCCAGGACACTAAGTTTTTAAAAATCATCTTCAACTGATAGCTGAGTTACAGATCAACCAAATATTTGACTTAAAATGCTAGAAAATGCTAGTTGTCTTGCAAACAAACATACCACTATGGTTCTTTACAATTGAAAAAAACAAAAACATTAAAAAATTAAATTATCCCACCATCCAACTGTCCTGTCCCCACCCATTCCAACCCTTAAAGAATCTTTTCTTTCTAATTCATATTTGGCAACACTTAATGTCTTTATACAGATTAGGATCTTCAACCCATAATCAGGCTCTTCGTTGATTAAAAGCAGTCACAAAAGTAGAGAGAAGTGACTATAACAAAAATCCATGGATACCATGTACACCTTCTTGGCGTTCAATGCATAAAGCTATAAAAACTGAACATAATTTTGTGGAATAAGTCCTCTCTTGCCATTTAGAGTGCCTTCTAGCCATCCTGGTTCTCTGGAAAATTGCACTGTAAAAGAAAAGGAAAAAAAATACTGTATCTTTTTATGCTTGGAATAATACTCTCACATTTAGCTCCATGACACTGTGCAATGCATCCATAAAAACATCCAGTCTCCTGCAATCGCCAGATTGACAATCTGGCTAGGAAAAATGATGAGGATGGTTAACTTAAATACTTGTAGGATCTCCTGCTTTTAGGTACAGGAGATTACATTAAAGAAACAATTAGCTACTGGAACTTGGAAAGGACAGGTTTATAAAACAAAATCTAGAAGCTTTGGGAGAGAAATAACTCCTATCAAACAGTTGGAAACAATTTCTGAATCTGGGAGCAATGCAATACCAAAAATCTGTCTTGGGCAGAAGTGGTGGAAGCCCAGAGACACAGGAAAGAGTCAGATCTCCCTTTAAGTATCATTTCTCCACAGAGTAGGGCTTCTATTGGAAAAGACCAATGAATAAAATCTAAATCATTCTTCTGGTTACATTGTCTCTCTGAAATGCAAACACATCCTGCTATTCACAAAACATGAAGGAAAGGCTTGAAAAGGCAAGATAAGCCTTGCCTCTTATTGCCATCCTAAGTATTTGCCACTGCAGGTACGAACGTTAATGCAACAATATCCATGAACATAAATAAGAAAAGTTACAGCTCAGTCTCTAAATGACCCAGAAGTACTTCCGTGAGGAACAAACCCCAGTCTGGCTTCTTATGTATTTCTGACCTCATTTGACAGGAACATAAAGAAGCATAAGCCTCTTTTTTTTTTTTTTTAATAGACTAAAAAGTTCTCAAATCCCCCTATCAAATTTCTTATAAGAACACAGTTCAGGTATCTACTTACCTATACAATTGTAAGACCCACATCTTTAGTGACCTACAATGTTCTCTACCATATTAATTTATCCTCATAGTGGTTCTGAGACAGACATTGTTTAGGGAAATGATCAGACAAATGCTGCAATATGCTGCCAGCCATGTCAGTGTTTTATTTAGAACACATTAACACGTTGGCAAAAGATATTTGTAGCCTTCTAGAAATCAGGGAAGTAACAGTTAAAAGAGAGCAACACGTTAAGTCTCACTTTCAAAAACATTAAAAGTTTCTAAATTTGACCACCTAAAAGATGTTTTCCCTTATTTTTTCCCTGCGTCCTATCACTGCCAGGCTGTGAAGCTAGAAGCTGTGCTCAGAAACCACAGCCTAAACAACAGCTATCTCTGCAAGGGACTTAAACATTTAGAAGAGAAAATTGTTATCAAATGATACCGAACAAAAGTCTGAGCACATATTTATAATGAACGTGCTTGATAGAAAGATTCCCAAGGAAAAAGCACATCGAAAATTACCTTTTAGGATCTCTGCACACACAGTGACTTACAGTAACTTACAATACTATTAGTAATTAGCAGGCCCTCCTCTCCCTTTGTCATTTTTATTCCATGATTACAGAGTACACACGCATTTAGAGCTGCAGTGCTGACACCACCACAAACCTCCCTCCAGAAGCTCTAATTCCACCCTAGCGAGCAAAGACGCCAGCAGCTCCAGCGGCAGCCCAGCCTCTCCCTAAAGTATCCCTTGCCTGCAGAGCACATCTGTTTTACAGGAAAGAAACTCCCCAAAATGGCAGATTAGAAAGAAAATCAACCAGAAGTACTGCAACTAATTTCTGCTTGTCCTTTGGAGCTCAACCCCAAAAATGCTTGAGCCAATTTACATTAACAAGAGGATAAACATTACTGGCATGTTAGTTTCTATGAACCAAAGCCTGTTAAAAGCAAGGGTAGCTCTCATCTGAAGAGATCACACTGGACAGGACCCTAAAATTCACCCATAGGAGAAAATGATCGAAGTATACAGAATCATTTGGCTTGACACAGCAGCAAATTTCAGAAGTATTTTCTAAACGAGTTTGCTAATCTAATAGTGAACCCCTCATACTACAGCACGTCCAGATACTCAGCGTAATGGCTGAGTAACTGGACTTGAGCAACAAATCCCACTGTCACCCTAAAAGGCCAGACATAGACGGTAGAGCTGAGCTCTGTGCTTGGAAAACTAAACACTACACTTCACTTTACACACAGCTCAGGGCCTCACGACTTTCTTAGTACAAGTGTCTTGTACACTCTCTGAAGACAGAAGAAAGGACTACCACACAGATTACACCTAATATCACCATTTCTAGAGAAAAGCCTTTTTAAAAAAATGCACCCAGAAGTAATTCTTAATATTCAGCAGCTGCAGCAATTACAAGTTGGGTAAGACTTGTGCCTCCTTTCAAATCACCTCACACATTAAGATACCCGTGTACATCATTGACTTCTGTGGACAAAAGATATTAATGAGGAAGCTAACCAAATGTGAAGCTATTTTAAATTCCAATGATCCTGTTTTTCTTTATCAATTCTAAAGTATAGTGTACAAAAGCACTTGTTTAAGAAAAAAAGAAACCTTTACCAGACAAAAGGCATTACACTATTGCGCACAGCTCCTCTTAAGCGGAGGACAGAGGCTATTTCTGGAAAATAGCCTGCTCAAGAGAAGTGCCCCCTTTCTGTCGTTTCTTCTCTATCAACAACGATTACAGTTCTTAGCACTTTCTCAGGCTTGCCTCATTTAAAAATACCTTGCTGCAGAAACTACACATTTGGCCTTAAAACTGCTATTCATTAGTTGACCAAGCATCCTATAGGACTAAGTCATATGTTGGCTAGAGGAAAGGCTTCTACAAGGAAAGAAAAGGAAAGGAAGGGAAGAGAAAACACTTGTAGTGTAGGAGATAGGGAGCAAAGAGCTGACAATTACATATGGCACAGCAAGGTGTAACGAGGGCATAAGACTGCACAACAAGAGCAATCAAAGAACAACCATCAAAGCTCAGAACTGTGGAAGTAGCAGCAGACTTCAGAGCCCTGGGTGGGATGACAGCTTCCTCAGTACCTGCTGCAAGGCCATTTGAGCAGCCCAGTCTCGCTCTAGCGGAAGCAAACTGTACACCAGTAGGACGTCTGACTGTTAGTGTGACTGCAAGTGCTACCCAGCAATTACCCCAAACGCAGGAGGACAAACAAAATCAACAGACTTTCAACTTGCAGTGATCTCTAAGTAAGGCTTCTCTGATTTCATCTCATCAAGAAACACGGAAAGATTAGCTTGGCCTTCACAGCATTCCTTCTTACTTTTCTGTATTCTCCACAGGAAATAGCTTCGACATTGCCCATGTTAGATTATCTAACTGTGAATAGATAACATTTGCAAGCAGCTCTTCCCAGAGACACAGTGCTGACAGACTTCCCTACAGCAGACACTGTTCTGCTTTGGCAACTCAGAAGTTTCCTGGGTCCCCAAAACAAAGGAAACCAAGACTCATTTCCACAGTGGAAATGCTAGGTGCCACTAACTTCAGCAGGACTGAATCAGGCACTGAAAAACCTGTTTCCTTTGTGGAAACTAGCTGTGTTGGGAGGAAGAGGAAAAGAGGAAGGAAACCTAACGTGCATCGTGCCTGGCACAAGAGGGCCTCCCTTTCTGATGGACTACTTTACCAAAAATGTAATGCCTCCACAAGCTTCATTTTGTAGGCAACAGAAATCTCACTGCTAAAACCACTGCAACACCAAAGTACACCACTATAGAACTCAATCCTCTTGGCCATTTTTTCACCAGGAGATTAAACTAAAGACCTGAGGCTTGGGACTTAGTCGTGAGCTGCCTCCCATCCCATCTGTCAGCTGAGCATCTCTGACAGTCCTGCACACACACCAGCTACGAGGTAATACACATCTGTTTAAACACCTCCCATTTCAACATTCAGCTCTCCATTAACATTTATCTTCTGGGGACCACTGCTTCCACAACACTGTCGGCAGGAGGAACTCTTCCCTTCTCTGTATCAGGCAAAGTCAGACTGTAAAAGGTCAAACTGCCTTCAGTGGCTTTTCAAAACTTCTAGCAGTCAGCAGGAATTTGGCAGTACTTATCTGGTACATTTTACTGGTGAAGCTGCAGTTTTAACTTTCAGCAGTAGTTCGAGGTGACTTATCTCTCAGTGGTATGGAGGGATCTGAAAAGGAGAACATCTGTCCACAGCCTGAACACTCAGTTTCTCTGGGCGTAAAATGGAGATAGTTAATGCACATGAATGCTCCTAAGTGCTTTGAAATCCACAGATGAAAGGAGTACAAAGAAGTGGCTTTATTCTCATTTTTACTTCAACAAAATAATTATTTGCACATTCAGTGCAATATAGCATTTTGGGAGTAGTACTTTTCTTTGATGTAAATCCTTCATTTGTCAATACCACAAAGAAAGTCCAGAAGCCACCGCGTGAATAAAAGAGAAGAGTGTGCCTTGGAGTTGAAACCAGGCAGATTAACTAAGGGTGGCACTTAAGTACAGTAGGAAAGATAGAGGGGGATAACAATGGCTGCGTGAACACTGATTTTGTGTTCCTACTGCGCTTGGTAGCGACAATGGATGTCACACCTTTGTTAAGGAAAATTACTGTAACAAAAAACTTTCTTGGTTTTCCCCACATTCTCTCTCCCCTAAAATGTTATTTTAAAAATTGTGAAAAGCTTTGATGAGAGCTATCTTGACAAGTTTTCAGGAAACCTCACTGTAGAACTGCTAGCGATACTGACAAGGAATTTTGTTGTGTAAACAGCACTTACCCTATCTAAAACACTTCTCCCCAGTGAAATTCCCATTTCTAAGCAGTCTCTTTTAAGAACCAGAAATAACACTTGGCTGCAAGGCTGGCAAAGTTTCAATGCCAGGCAGTCTGATTATTCTTTTCATGATCATTGGGAATAACTGCTTGAACCAAATATAAATATACGTACGACTGGCGTATGTCTCTCAGTCTCAGATCGTACTCTGCTTCTTCCCATATGTGCCCTTTTCCAGTTGCAAAGTCTTCAAGCTTTGCCTCTAACCACCTGAATTATAGTGTTATGTGCTATCAGTAATATAGACTGTAGCAACTGGGAAATAAAGATATTGGCACGGCCTAAGGTAAATTGAATTGAAGATGGAGGGGAAAAAAAGCAGTGGATATTGTTCAGATTACATTATTCATTTTCTTACACAATTCAATTAAATAGAAAAGTTTTCTTTTTTCTTTTTTTTTTTTTCTTACCGAATGGTGCCTTTGCATTTATATTTTGTAGCACTTTAATAACAAGACTGAGATTTGGGTTAGCACAATGTGCATGCAATAAAGAAAACACCTCAATATGCAAATATTCGGATTCTGTACAAATTCCTATGAGGTGAAGTAAAGCTCAATATAAAATATTACTAAATCTAACCTTGTCAGCCTGCAAAACCAGTATTTTTCCCCCACTTAGATAAAGGAAATGGAGGCAGGAGTAAAGGTTAAACTCTTCCCTGCTTGCACCAATATTACATTTAGTAGCTATGACAGGCACAAGACTGTACCTCACTAAATGCCATTATCCTGTCTCAGGCTAGAGCAGCCAGAAAGATTCATCCAGGATAATAACAGAGAGAGAACTACTGCAATCAACATCCACAGACCAAGAGAGACAAAGCAGAAGAATGGGAAAAGGAAGTGAAAAAGTGCAAGAAACAAAGCAGAACAGAGTGAAGAGAAAGGAAAAAACTCAACATACAAACAGTAAGAGATGAAAGCGACAGGATTAGAAAAGTGAGACAGGCGGGGTGGAGAAAGGAGAGATGGATAAAATCTTCACTAATGGAAGCAGCACTTTTTAGTAGACATTAATTTAACAGTTACTTTAATGGTTGATACTAGCTGTATGTCAACTTGATTGATGCGTTGTCACTTTGATAGTTAAGGTTATTGGTAGAGCTGCAGAATTGATGTATTATTACTTTAATTCTTCATTTGGGGGCTTTATTAGGGCATATGGGAATTTAAATTGAGTAACTGAAGAACCTGAATTGATTCACTGGAATTTGATTCTAGCATAGACACAAGGGTGTCTAATGCAAAAAGAAAAGGCCCATGTGAAGGCACTTCAGTGGTTTCAAATATGGAGACTGGTCTGCACTTTTAATGGGAACACCTTTTCATAGTGACAGAGCCTATCCATAATAACCTACTACAAATTGTTATGGAATGAATATTTAGTTATTACATATGTCCAATTACTCCCTTTATTGCTTGTAGGCTCTCCTCCTTTTGTCTGCCAATCCACAACCCACCCTATGCTGGAAGTGCTGTGGTGCAAGGACATCACCTCTAAAATCAGCAGGAAGCAGCGGAATAAATCAAAATAAATGTATTTAAGGAACCATGATCTTCCCCATTGGAGTCTACAATTAGGATTTTAAAATGCAGTCCAACCTTATTTTACTTGAGCTTCTAACCTTATTTGTAAAGATGATGTGGAAAAATAGAGTTGAAAAATCTCTCCATGTGCTGCCAAAGAGATTAATTCAGTACTTGTTCTTGGACAATCTGAGACTCTAGTTGAAAAGCTGTAAAGGTTACAATGTACCAAAAACACGGTAGCTTTGCTATAACATCTAGCAATCTATTTACACAAAAAAGAATCTCAACATTGCTGTCACACAAACATGATACAGAAGCAACTGCTTCTTGCAAGACTTTTTTTCTCCAATGCCAGCACAACAGGTGTACAACCCTTAGTGTCCTCCATTAGAAATGCCTGTCTTTTACATACCAGATCTTTTCCTCTATGCACCAGATTTTTTTCCTGTACACAAATTTTACGTCTGCTGAAGATCCCTATCAGTCATGTTTTAAAAAACTTAAATTAAAATAACTGCTGTAAGAGACTTTAAAAAGAGCAATCATTTAGCTAATTCATTTTAAAAAGATTTCCCACCTAACTTGATTCAGACGTGATCTGCCTGCAAGGCAGTTATCTAATAGGAAACACCAAGTATGATTTTCTAAAGTGGGTAGGGAGGAACCTCGCAGAACCTCAGACCACTTTATACTGAAAAAAAAAAAGTGAACTCTGGACTAGGCTTACTATTTATTTATTTGGGAGAAGACAGAGGACAGGAATGTCCTTATGATCTGTCTGCTTTAAATTACGGTTCACAAAGAAGGGGAAGGAGATGTCTATGTTTGTGCCATTTTGTTGTTGTTATGAATACTGAAAAAAGAAGGTTCTGCTGAGCTTTGCTCATTTGTTCCTGCTTGTTAGAAAAAATAGAAACATTCTGTTGGGGTTGTAGGGTAGGAAGAGAAATTTCACATAGACACTTTTGATCCAGTACTAACAGAGTTAACAGGATGCATTTAGTTAGCCTTTTAATGCCTGCAGGTTGATTTTTTCCAGCTGTTTCTGACTATATACTTTTCTCTTTTTCTTGCTGGATATAAACTGGGAATTTGGGCTACTCCTCCTTACTGGATATCCAAACAAAGATTCTCACATGTGGTATCTGAACAACTGGGCAGTGCATACCCAAAGTGTGTTTGGTCATGCAGAATTAAATACCACTTTACCTCTGGAAAGAACATATCAGATTTCAGACCTAGTAGCAAGTTGGCAATGGATGAGAAGAAAACGGGCATCACTGCAGAATTTCCAGATTCTTTAGAGGCAAGTATGCCCCTTACTACACCCCCCTCTGCCTCTAGACAGGCTGAAAGGCTAAAATACTAGTCTCGGTACTCATGAGGATCTTAAGAACGCAATTCACAAATGACTTTGAAACCCTCAGTCTGCACAAAACTTGGATGAGGATTTGGCTGAACTTAAAAGTCTTTTGTTTTTCAGTACAAATGCAACTTATCGAGGCCTCGTAACAAACAACAGTCTTACACTGCTCCTGCTATGAATTAATTTCTGCTTAGAATTATTATTAAATTGCATTCCAGTAACAAGAATTGCTGAATTTGTCCAGGCCCTGTTGATCCATTCCATGCTATCTCTTTCTTATGCAATGGTATGAAGAAACTAAGCTCCAATATCTTCTGTATCTTCAGAATTTGTATTACGGCAGTCACTGGCATAAGGTTTTAAAACTAAAACCATTCCTTGTCAGTTCAAAGCCCCTGTGCAGATGCTGGAGAGTAGAGCTATGGAAGCTAACTGAGGAATTTCAACACAGTCTTGAGCTCAGGAATCACTTTCCTGGATGTTCATATGCAATACTATATTTGCCTCCACAGAAGTTTTTAAACATAGACCTTCATTCTGCAAATTCATTCCTTCTACAAGTACAAACATACATTAGAAGACTAAACATGCCCTTTTCTCTGCAATGATCACCTGATTTACCTGCTTGAAAATCCTTAAGTAGATTTTTTTTTCTTTAAATGAAAGCCTTGGTATCTTACAAAGATAGTCCACGTTGAAAAACACAGTTCCATAGGCCAAGATATCCATTTCTGCATTGCTGAGCAACTTTTCCTACTGCAACACGCATTTAAACACTGCTGAAATATTAAACCAACTGAAAGAGTCTGCTCACCTGAAGCAAATGCATTACCTCATACTGCTTTAATTTACATTAAAGCAGCTTCTATGTACCAGAAATCTTCTGCGTCACTGTTTGCCATCATCAACATGGGCAGAACAGCAGTTATGCCTGTATTTTTATCCAAAGCCATTTAAACAGTTTTGTCAGTTTGTTTTTCATTGCTTTATATTCACTCAATAAGTACTTACCATCTTCAAAAATTGCTCCTATCTGAAATGATAATTCAGAGCTATGTTCTGCTTCGCATGGATAAACTGCTCTTGCTTTTCGGTGGGCAACACTGAAAAATGAAATTAAGAAATACAGTTACTTTGGGCTATTAATGACGACACCTCCCTTTCTCAACCATTCTCTCTCCATTCTCATTAGATGACTAAAACTTTAAACTCAGTCTCACATGCATCATCGCAGGCTTCTAATTCATACACACAAATGCCAAAGCTGAAGCTTCACAGCTTACTGCTGGCATTTCTGAATATCATACTTCCAGTTTTATGCACTTATTTTTATGATAGCTAAACGTGACTTTCGACTACAGCTAAAATATTGCCAAGTGCTAATCAGCAGTGAAATCAATAGTAGGCAAAGCACACTATACTTAATTTATAGGCTAATCATTATACCTTCCAAAATGTTTCTTCATGGTCTTTGCAATTCAGCTTGTCACTAACACTGTACAGAAATCTTTACTGAACTTATTTTATTTTTACTTTTTTACAATACATTGTTAGACCACTGAGCATGCTATTTTGTCCTCAACATAATAAGGTTTATAAAACTTCAGATAGTCTTTTAGAGGTGTTATTAGGATGCTCATAATTAACCATTAATATGAATTTCTCCAAAATACTCATTTCTCCAAGTACCATAGGAGAGAACTTTGAATACGTAAGTATTTTTGGCACATCTTACTTAATCACGCCTTTGCAAAACTGACAGTTTGTTGCTGCCCTATGCTTTGTTTAGACAAAGCACCCACACCAATAACTCATCTTTTGTTGAGCCCTGGCAACAACAAAATAAAACACTGGGAAAGATTTTCCCTGCCCCAAGAAACTTAGAGTCAAATAGACAATGCAGTTCTGGTACAGAATGTCAACAGTGAGGAAAAATTGAATTTTGTTACAAAGTGTTGGAAAGAATTTATAAATATACACAGCTACTTTATTTTGAAAAGCAAACTTATTGAACTTGTAGGAATAAAGCTAAGACCTTTGAAGGAAGAAGTGAAAACACTTCAAAAGGTGGACAACAGGGAAGGAAGGAAAAACAGGACAGAAAAAAAAAGCAGGCCAAAAGAGTGAAAGAAAAGAATGAAACCACAGATAAAGATATGAGAAAGTATTTCAAAGTCAAGAAGGCTAGGATGAGAAACTTAAATTTGACATGGGTGGTTAGGGAAAAAACAGATCTGTATTTAAAAGACACTATAAGCAATATAGTAAGCTAAAGAATCATTGCAGAAGAGAGGGACCTAATCAATCACCTCCATCAAAGTCTGTTTGCATTGACCAACAAATCACTGGCTCAATCTAGGTGCCATCTACAAGATGCTTAAAGGAAAAATAATACAAAGTAGTCCATTATTTTATTCTGTAGAAATTGCAAAGGCTGCATTTCCTGATTTGAGATAACCACTTAAAAAAAAAAAAAAAAAAAAAAAACAGAAAAAAGAAGCAATTAAATAACCAGCAAACATTGAAGAGTGCATCGTACCTTTCCACTGCTCTGTCACTCCCAGTGGCAGGATTAGGGAAGGAGAAAGCAGATGGTGTAGTGTTTGTGGCAGCTGGGTTAGTGCTTGGAGTGTTCATCCACGAGACCATCGATGGGCGGCTTTGACCAGAACTAAGGTGAAATTATTTCAAGGCAGAATTAATGAGGTGAATAAAATTCCTTTTCATACTAAAAATGTTTGAATCTTTATAACTAGACTAACAAGTTAGATCCTCAAACTCAAAACCAGTAACAATGCTGAGGTGATTTTCCAGACATGGTCATCAAGTTTCTGCATTTCCTCCTTGAAAGCGTTTTTCATATATGCCCTACATCCTAAGCTAGGACGAATTACCTGAGATGTATGACATAACCAATAACAAGGCAAAATTCCACATTCCTTATCTAATAAAGACAGATACAATGAAACTGCATATAGCAGGCTATTATTTGAGCTGCCACTTTGTCTTTACAAGTTTTGACGAATCTATTTAAAAATCTTCTCAGCGCTGTATTAAGCCATGTGCAACTGGAAGATTTCAAAAGAGGCTGCAGCTGTTACAACACTGGGATCACGATGCTGGCTCTGGAATGAGATCTTGTTCGCATAACTGCACAGGTACTGCCTCAGTGACTGTCCTTGTGAGCACGCTGTTCAAAAACATGTTAAATTAATGGCTGAATTTATAGTTGCTAAAAGAGAAGAATAAATAGCAGCTAAAGCAGCTAAAATCACTAAAAAAAAAATATACAGGGTACTTTCCAATATAAACGATGCTCCTAGTCCTACAACTTAAGAAACTAAAATGTTCCAACACTGGAAGGCTTTCTTCCTCTGTATGGGCAAAAAAAACAAATTATCTGAAGACTTCATACCAACATATCTTTGGAGCTGGACTTCAAGCAGTTTCCAAGCAGAAACAGAATTAAAATGGTTCACACACATCTTCCATGCAGAAATCATCACTCAGAAGTATGGACTTCACAATACAGCATTTATCAGCTAGACTTATTCCAAGATTAACCTTTCAGATAGTATAAATCTGCCAAGTACCACCAAAATCTGGGAAAACAGTCAAGAAGGATTTGATGGGGGTGTAAATGCACACCTAATCAAGGTGAATTGACCAGAAGCCAAAAAAAAAAAAAATATATAAGCAGTCGCAGTCACTCCACTTACAAATATAAGAATAAAAGATGCAGGAAATTCAACTTATGTAGCAGATTTTCATCTTCTTACTCATTGGGATATTTAATTTCTAGAAGAAACGATCATTTTTTTTGGCTTGTATAAAGTGTTTTACAAACAAGCATAACTTTTACAGACTAATTCTGCTAGCCAATATAGCTCATTTTCATTCTAGCAATTACAAGGTTAAGCAGACATTTACTTTGATTATTAATTTTTAAATTTACTGCATCATAAAATGATGAATGGCACATTCTTTATTTAACAAGACAATAATTTTTAGTTTGGATCTGTGTCAGACTGCATTTGGATGAAAACTGGAATTCAAAGTATATGAAAACAGCATTCTGCAGTTAATTCCACTAATAAAAATGAAACTTAAATGTCCTGGCATCACAGTGAGAAGGGTTTATCAAAACATGTTCTGCTTTTAAAACTATCAGATTTACCAAATAAAGGAAGGAATCATAGGTAGTAAACTGAATGAAAAGCTGGACTGTACTTACTAGAAACATATTTCTTGCTTATGTTTGGGAAGAGGATGTCTATTCTACTTAGCCATTCTTAAATCTTGCACTACACATTTATTTACATCTTATAATAATTATGTTCTTTTGAAAACCAGCATCTGCCTAATTTGGGGTTTTACTCTTACTTTAACATGTTGTTTTCTTTCCATTTTTGTGTAGTCATTGAAAAATATTCCCTAGGTAGAACAAAAACCTTCAACTGTAAGACTTCGTTTGAAGATAACAAACAAAAAGTAAACACCAGCATTTGTATTATTTGTTCCAAATAGTGCAGATAAAAACACAATTTAATGATATTTCAAGGTTTATAAAATTTGCTAGAAAGTAGACTATTTGTCCATCATTACGCATAAAATGTATATGTGTAAAATTAATTTTATCTCATTAGAATAGGTGAACCTAAGACAAAAAGGGTTTTCAAAAAATGAATAGCAAAAAACATTTCCTACTTGCATAGACTAAATGATTGGAGTTAAAGCAATCCTGATATTTAAAGAAAGATCATTTCCCTTGTGCTTTTTCCCTTGCCTCTTCAATTCACTCCAAAATTGAGACTGGGTAAAGCTTGTTTCTGAAACTTGTAAAATTACAGAAAATAGAAAAAAAATATTCCAAATGTAATGCCAAAGATTATTAAAGCATCACCAATTCAAACTGATCACAAGTGAAGAATATTCTTCTATAACTCATACCTCAGATTTGGCATTGTTTGCCTTTCAACAAATGAATATGAAAACCTTCTATTTATTAGCTATTTCTTTGAAATGCACATCATATTTGTCTGTGCAACTTACATGATCAGCTCTAGAACAACACATACTGGCCATGTTTTAGACACCAGATTAATGATTTCAAAATAACATTCAGAACCCCCTACCAAAGATACCCTGTGATCCAGGAAAGCAGCAGTCATTCGTAAGAATACTTAGAATATCACAGCTGGTTTCTCTTTGAAACAGGAAGGGAAGAAGAAAGGAGAGATGGAGGGAAGGATCAGAGAATGTGTGCAAAGAAAGGAAAAGAGGATGAAATCAAGTGTTCAGATCCATGTCGTGGCACATTTATTTCTCAGGTTACACAGACTCAAGAACTACAGTAACAGTAACCTATCAGCTAGCAAGACTACACTGTCCTTGTCAGGCAGCATTATTTAAAAATGTGGAAAAACAGGCAGATTTTCTACTAATTCTGAGCAACTTCAACAGAGGAAAAACCCTCCAGAAGTGCAGGTACGTGAAGCCCTGGACTGCTCCCTCCCCCACTTTTTGATGAATTCACTTAATACATTTCAGCTGTAGCAAAAGCACTGCAGTATGGCTCCTCAATTCGCCTGTCACTTTCAGCTCGTGGTTACAGATCTCTTGATCATGGTCTACGATCCAGCAGGGGAAAAAAACATTTTTCATCAGAAATAGTTTTACCATGTTGAGAAAAAGAAGAAAAAAAAACTCTAATGGCTTTAAATATTAAAGCACATTCTAGAGTTTCAACTCTTTTTTTTTTTTTATTTACTGTACTTGGCTATCTCAGGAACCACTTAATTTTATTATTAAAACAGAAGGTTTTACTCAATAGGAAAAATCGGTTCCAACATTGTGGTGTGTAAGCAACACCGAGTAGAACTTCTTTTTGTCTCCTTCAAAAGATTCTTGCAATAGCAAAGTTACCTTGCTGTGAAGGTTTGCAAGCCTTGTTTATCAAGATGATGATAAATTAGAAAGTACTGTGTATCTTATCATACAGCATCTCAACTTTGAGAAGGTATGTTGAAGAAATCCATTATCCTAAGGGCTAAAATGAAGGCAATGCATTTCTTGTGGGGAAAGAAAAAAAACCCTGACATAACCATCTCTCTCTGAGAAAAAATGCTATTGTTTGGCACGGTGAATGTTGGGAGAAGAGAGGAGGGGGAAATGGCCCTACTGAAAATAAGCTAGAGATTTTGTACTGATATTCAGAAACAAACTCCTGAAAACAAGATTTTATTGGATGTGTAGCTGGCTGGTTCCTAAGGTAACACAGCTAAAGAGCAGCCTCTTATCTTGAGAGCAAGGAAGAGACTCTGTGAAAAGAATCTACACTGCAACTCTTCAAGAAAAAATGTTTGTTTCACAGAAGGGTTTGGCAGCCCCATGGCTGTCATATCTCAGTGTCTGGCTGACATAAACTCAATGAAAGCATTCTTAAAAGACTTGATTATAAAACGACAGGTATTGGCTATTTCTGATTCGATATGCAATCCAACACTCTCCATCATCAGACAACAGTATTCCTGCATGTTAAAACTCATATGCCTTGGTGAGAATGGGAAGTAGAAGATTGCAGGGACAAAATTCTAGAAATTGTAACAGTGGCAGCAAAGCTGGAGACAAAGCAAAAGGACAGAATTTCCTGATCCATGACCACTCCAAAAAGAAACTCCACTCCCAAATGTAAAATATGTAACATGCACTCGACACTCCTGATCCCACGTTTATACAGAACACATCAGCCAACACTGAAATAGAGGTTTTGTTAAACTTGGCTTGTGAAGTCTCAGTAAAGCAGCCAACATATTAGCGAAATGATCTTTCACGCCAGTCTGGTAAATCTGAAGGTTACGTCTCTACAGCAGCTGTCCTAAACTACAGCATTTTTAAATGATAATTCAGACAAAGCAAAAAATGAAGCATGTGCATATGTAAGCTTACAGCATACTGTCCCTTTTAGGATACTAATAAAAAAAAACTGGGGGCTGTGTTTCCTGGAATAAATAAATAAATAAATAAAATGGAAAAATAAAAAAAAAAAGGAGGCAAAAAAAGGATACTTCAGCTCCTAGTGGTTGTGTCCACATCCCTCCCTGCTGTGAGCACACGTACTGCTTACCTGGCGCTCACCCAGGTGCTGCTGTCAAGCCTAACTGTTCACATCCAGCCCACTGGAAGACAAGGAGATGGCAAAACCTATTTTGTGTGACCCACATGACTAAGTTACATTATGCCTATTTCAATGGAGCTACAAAATCAGGGCTATTGCTCTGCTTGCATGACAAAAGGATACAAAAAGAAGTGCCTGCTTCACTTAAACCTGCTCTCAGTCTGCTGAATCACTGAAGAGGTGGCGGCTGAACAAAACCAAACTGCAAAATAAGCACAATGAGTGAGGAGCACTGCCACATACCTGGACTGTGCCTTCTGCAGCTGTTACAGCACATCCCCTTACTAAAAAAAGACTACATCAGATATAAAAAAGTTTTCAGCACATTGAAGGTGAAGTCACTTATCATTTTTATAAAATTGCAAATTCACAGCACTCCCAGAAAATACAAAAATAAACTGTTTCAATTTCAAGGAGACAAGAGATGATGCAGTCTACAGGTGTAGATATAATAAGGCTGATGGGAATTCATCCAGCAGTCGAAGAAAACGAGTAACCATCTCGAAGACTTCTGTTACGTTCAGAACACCACTATTGCTATCCTGTCCTCCCTTGCCATCTTATGGCTCTTTGAACATTTGTTTGCTCACTGGGAACTTGAATGGCCTGAGATTTCATGAAGAACTACCAGCTTTTTCCCTGGTCTCAAAGGCCCTGGAACTACACAGGATGCTGCACAGCTCTCATCACCATTCTGAAAGCCTCTGGGGATATTAAAAACCCAGAAATGATGCCCATAGTGTATGTAGCACACATACACCACTGAGCTTTGTAACAGAATATAGTGTCAGGAGACCCACTAATGAAAAAAATATAACACTGGATTATTTCCTCTGCCACTGGTACCTTCACAAAAGTTACTTCTATTGGTGCTTCTATTTCTCCTCTGGGTTTTGAGTACCTTCAGTATTTGGACTGTATCTACAACTGTACCTAAAACAGTTGTAAGGAGGGATTCAGTTTGAGAACTGTAAGTCTGAGCCCAGAAATGTATCTGCTTTAACAAGCCATCCACTCCCCAGCCATGGTCTCTGTGAGGAGGTTTGAGTGGCAGGACGCGTTCCATTCCTTACAGTTGCAAATTCACCAAGAGAAATTAGCAATAACCCATCCTCTGATCAGCCAGGGACTGAAGCAATTCTGAAAGAAGGAGCAAAGAGTGGATTTTGAGGTCTACGCTCCCTAGATAATTTGCAGCTGTAGGGTAGACATCAGACTGGGTGAAACTGATGGTTAATGGATAAAAGATGTTTGGAGGTTTGCTTTGTTAGAGTTTTTTTGTTTGAATCCAGTCAGAATAAAATTATGCGCAACTCACAAAATACATCCATTCTGTATGAAAGGATTAAGATGTTACAATACATGACCTACTTGTTAAACCCAAGGCACAACATGACAAATATCACTGTATTTGTACATTCTTCTTTACGTTGTTTGGTTTTTTATACATATTGGCCAATATCTTAAGCGGGGAATACTGTCTATTTTCCAATGTCTCAAATAACAGAAGGAACAGATCAAAGAAAGCTTCTAAAGAATACCTGTGGGAATAGACATATTTCGTTTAGAAGACACGGCTTACCTTCAGAACACCTGGCTATGGTGGCAATCCAAATCAGAAAGAATGCACAGGGAACTGGAAACTCTGTTGTGGTTTGTTTTGTTTTGGTTTTTTGTTTTTTCTTGTATTTTTTTTTCTCCCCAGGGCCAACTGTGGCTTTGAGGGGAAAAAATGAGCATTTTGAGAATGTACTGCTAGTGAAACTATACCAGTCCCAAAAGTCTGCCAAAAAAGCCTGAAACACGCTCTCCTTGCAAAAGCAGTAACAGCTGGAGCTCTGTCAGAGCAAAGTGGACTTTGACAGTGGTTCCAGTGGAACTTGAAGATAGATGGCTGAACAACGTTAATTCTGTAGCTCAAGGGCAAGTGCATGCGGCCACTTAAAGAAAGCAGAGAGGGAGACAGAAGGAATGTAATTGCTTCGGTTAATATCAGACTGAGACTGCCATTGCTGCTGTGCCTTAAAGGAAAAAAATGCCCATACCAGTGGAGAGCACCACAAGGGTCAAATACTTCGTAACTCACTATCATAACTACCAATTTTTGTCTGAGTCTTTAAACATAGCTTGTGCTAAGCATCCTTGGATGAAAGTGATTTTCAAACAATACACATTTCTGAGATGGTGCTCCATCAAACAGAAAAGGTAATTTGTCCCTCCTGAGCCAACTGGAGTTTGAATCCTGCAGCTACATGAACTACCCTGTAACTTTACTATTGACGGGAGGGGGGAGAAACACTATGTCCTACCACAGACTATATGTAAAACTAAAACATTTATTTTTAATATTTGGCTCTAGGAAGTGTGAAGGCAAAACTATCTTCAGGAAAAAGATAGACAAAAGTTTAGTGTGCAAGATGATAGAAGCGCAAAATTGGGTCTCCAATAAAAACCGTTCTTGCTGTAGACAGTAGGAACCAACCATCACTGTACCCCCCTTCAGCAGTACATAACATCACAGGGCATGTGGTTGATTGACAGGACTTTCGAAGAAAATCTAGTATCAGGCAGACACACACTTACAGACATGAAAACCAACAGCTGAGCAGGGCTTCAACATGGCACACGTGAAACATCATGGTTCACAATGCAAAGGTTTTACTTTTTATAGGTCACACTGCAAGCATAATACATCTTTAAACACTGACATGACAATTGAGTAGTCTGGGCTTTGAGAGATATTTCAGACCTGTGGTGTAGCCCTTGCTCTCTTAGTTTCTTTCACCGCTCTGGCCATGCAGTCCCCTCCTAGTAAAAGCCAGGAGGTACGCATATATTTATATACGCTTTCACCTGGTGCTCCTTTAACCATGCTAGAAGCTGTAGCTCCTTTCGCTTTTAAAGGTAGGACAAGGAAAGGGCGTGCATTACAAAAAAAAAAACTCTGCCAGAGAACATCATTGTGACAACAGCTATCATTCAGGGAAAAAAAAAAAAAAAAAAAAAAAAGCTCCTCTTTTTTTGAAAACAAATACCACAGAAAGCATTCTTGCTATCCATCCCCTGTTATTGCTGAGAGCAAACTACTGATATAAACCTACCTCGGAATATCTGACCTATCTGGACCCACAATACAACATCCTTCCCCCAGGAAACAGTGCAAGCAACTCTTCTACTGCAAAGAAGTCACCATCACCTTGTTGGGTACATAACTCCATAGTGATTGATCTCTTACAAGTAACACCCATCAGCAGTAACTTGAGAAACCAGATCCTCTTGTATTTTCATCATCCCTAGGCTCAGTAATGGTATTTACTGCAGCTCAGTGAAGACCTGTAATACCATTTTAGAGAAGACACTGAGACGTTAAGAATTGCTTTTGTTCCAACTTGGCACAAAATGTTAAACATTCTGAAACCCTGCACAAACAGAAAGGATTGTTCACATAATTCAGGGATAGTCCAGTTTATGACAACAGTCTAAGACCAACATGGAGTTCAACAGCCAATGCCTCATTTCCTGGAGCCATGAGAGCTACCACAGCTACACCATGCCAAGACAACCACCACCTTTGCCTGTCCACAGGACATCATTATGCACAGCAACTGCCAAAGATCACCATTTGCGTTGCTGACACCTGCCTCTTCCATTAACACAATGGAGTTGTTCTGGGTTTTGTTTTGTTTTGTTTTGTGAAGGCAAGGCCCTCTGAGTCATCAGAACTAGAAGGGGAAGAGAAGCCCAAATCAGTGTGAGAAAGTAAAGAAAGAATCTACCTTTCACTGACTACTCTCTGTCACTGTCCAGGCTTGTTGTGGAGGTAGCTCTTATGCAGACTTCTCAAACAGGTAAGCGTTTTTGACAAATCATTTAGATGCACGTAACAAGACACTTCTTTTTCCTTCCAAACAGGACTGCTTCCAACTGAGCACAAAACTTCAAGTCATCAAAGTTTCCAAAACAGCTCTACAGTATAATTCTCCATGAAAACAAACAAATGCAATGCTCCTCCACAGACCTTAAGTTCCTGAATACATTGGATAAAGCCAATACTTCCTTCATTTATTCTATGTAGTGCCATTATCAATGTTTTGCTAAGCATCATGTTCCCTCATTAGCTATGCCTGCTTTCACAGACATTCTAGTTCTATGTCTTCCACAGCACTTGTTTCTCGCACAGCATCTCTTTTTATCAAATACAATTTTTTTTTAATCCTACCCACTACCACTGGACTACAAGACAGGGAAAAAGTAATTTCAATCCTCTGAAGAAACAACATACATGTAAAATATCTATAAATCTGAAATTCTTTCAATACATATGAGAAAATATTGTTATAACTAATAAATACTCTAATCAACGGTTAATTATGTGTACATATGGAAATATAAACCCATTATATGTCTTTCTACATATTCTGATGTGTTCCATACATCTACACATATATTTTACATACTTGCTTAATCAACAGAACAGGCTACTCAAAATGCCATTATGGAAAATATCTGTAACAAATCTTTTCTCCAGACTTGCTTCTTCCATCTTCTTGGCACTGAAGGCTGGAAAACTTTGTCTTGATTTGTTGAAGTTTGTATGAATGGCAAAACAGAAAATTTAATTCAAGCTCAACTTCTGATTAAAAAATGTGTGTTCTGCTCCCCATGTCAGATCTGAGTATATATTACAGAGATAGCACTAACACTGTAATGTCTATTTTTGCTGAACTCAATAACTCAGTAACTGAGCATGTACAGTACACTGAAAGAGAAATACTGCACTACAGTTGAAAAGCAGGCAGTTAATTTGTTAACAACAAGAGATCAACAATGATAATATTCTTAGACAAAAGCACCTGGGCATACGCTCATTAAAGTACATTTATACAAAACCAAAATTTGGCCCTAAATCTTAATGGCCTTACATTAAATGTAACCTTACTCTGTCTTGACATAGAGTAATACATCCCACAAAGACTAACTGACATATTCATTGCCTAAATAAAAAACATTTAAAATTTTATAACAGGTTACAGTAAAACACACTAAGTTTCAGTAGGGGAAAAAAAATCCTACAAACTCAGCCGTGTTCAAGTATCCTATAATCTGCACCACTACATGTAGGCACATACCTTTTTGTAGTACAAAACAAACACAACTACATGCAATATAAAAGCCACTTACTTGCCACCAAACTGAAAAGGGAAATATATTTTATATGCCTGATCACTCTAGTGGAAAAATCAATATTCAATATTCGGGTTACTTACAGATTTGTTGCCCAGTCTGTAAGATCTCCACTGTCCATAATAAGGTGATTTCTGTCCAGGAGCCCAGGAGGGCTACTAGAGAATGCAGGTGTAGGAGACTGGGAAGAAAGAGAATCCATGCTACCAGTTGGAGTGTCCTCTTTGGGAGAGCTGTGAGTGTCAGCTAGAAAGAAAAAAAAAAAAAAAGACAGCATAAATCAGAAGGATACTAAAAAACTCTTCTAAAGAGTCAAATCTACTTTGGTAACAATTCCATAAAATACATACAAGGAGTAATCTTGCTGTCCAGTCTTCATAGACTATTTTGGAGGACATGCAATCCCCCTGCATTTCCCCAAAAGGTACCACAGCTTAGTTTCCACCATTGCTATCACAAGGCTGTCTTCACGTAACGATGTATTCCTGGTCCCCTTTTCAACATGTATTTTATGTGGATGAAATGCTAGAGTTCGGGGCGGGGGGGGGGGGTTGTTTTAAGACAAACGCATCCTTCAAATAAAATAGTTGAGGCTGTACACATTTGTACACCTCTCTAAAAACGGTTTCTAAAAGTAATTTGATACACAGTCTAGTAAATGATTGCTCTCAAGTACCATAAGCACAATCCTATAAAACATGAAACAATGAAATTTAGAAAGGTCAGAATAGCAGAGATCTCTAACAACAGGCCATTAACCAACATGTGATATCCATGAACATTACTTTTATTACTCCTTTTTAAGGGTATTGCTTTTAAGAGAATTCTTTGTATTCTGGTCTACTATTTGTTTATGTAGGTTACTTTTAGAACATCACTCAGGAGGCAACATATTCAGAAATGATTGCTTAGGAAAAAGTTAAAGGAACACCATTCCTATCTCATGAACAGGACAAAGATACAGATACGGCACAGCGCTCACTGAAAACCACGCTGACACATCTAGCCAAACAGCACATTCTTCACTGAAAAGCTAACTTTCAACCACATAGTTTTTCCTTTTAAAATTATTTAAACATCAGTTGCACATTTTATAAGCTCTAAAAGAGTCGTGTGAAATGAGGACAATTGCAAACATTAAAGTGTCCAGCACAGCTGAGTCCGCAGTCTCAAATGGAGCCTGTGGCTGTTTTCAGAATTTTAATATTTAACAGGAATAAGGGTCATTTCCAACCACCCTTTACATGGCTCCCTGCACCCCATCCTTGCTCTTCTGTGCTTTCTACTCCCCCTCATACATGTGAGCATGGCCCACAGCATCACACAAGTCCCTCCAGAGTACATTCGATACTGCTGACCCTACACAGCCATGGTATGAGTTCTGCTTCTTCAGGACCGGAATCTTTGGGGGCAGAATGAACAACCACAGCAATCACAGTTGTTGGATCAAAAGCTGTTGAAATACTGTGATAGCTTGAAAAGCTGTATCTTCTATACGCGTTACTGTACAAAGCCAAGTCCTGTATATTACTTTCTAACGCTAAATGAATTAGAATCTGCACAGAGAACAACTGAGTTTAATTCAGCTTCATGAAGCTGAGCTGCACTATTGCAAAAATTTCTTTCATTTATTTTTACTTTTCTTTAATAACTTAAAGAAAAAGCAACAAGAATTAAATGTGAACAATGAAAAGCCGCCTTCCATGGATAAAATCACCCTTGCGACTTCATTACTGTCTCAAAGAGCTTGATCCCTTCTGATTAAAAAGCAGAAAGCTAATGTAAATGCTCACCTGCTTCCCCAGCCATCTCATCCACACCCCCTCCAGTAACTCTCACAGAACAACTTCCCTAGAGAGGCAAATGACATACAACTAAAAACACTCAAATAATGAAAGTGATGATCTGAAAATTTCTCCCTAAAGTAGCTGCTAATTTAAGGCTCTAAATTAGCCTGTAGTAACAAAGTACGATAAGCCGTGAGGAGGAGAACGTTAGCCTCAGCACATGAGTCACGCTGGCTCCAGCCCAGCCCTGTGCAGCAGCTCCGCCGCCCCGTCCCTCTGTGATAGGCCTGGGCGCTGCAGCTCGCGTCTACATGACATGACATGAGAGCTGTAGGAGTGTCAGGTAAAAACTAATTCATTACACCTCATTTGCAGACGTATGTGTCACAATGATAAACATCTGAGAGATTAGACGGTAATACTGCAATTTTACTTTATTAAGAAACTCTACTCTTTAAAACTAAATAGACTTAAGTCCTTTTACCTCACCAAAATTTCTTTTCAAAACAGTAGTATTAAAGCAAGCCAGACTATCAAACTACATGCACCATATTAGAAAGCCATGTTTACCTCCACTATCCACTTAACATGACTAAAACACCATTAGGAAGGAATATTAACTTATTCTTCAACAGTGTATTACCAAGACAGCACACACCCTCTACGAAAAGGGAAGATTTGTCTCTCAAATCATTTCTCAGAGCACACAGAAAAAGATGTACTGCACACTTCTGTCACCATCCACAGTAGATGCTACATTATAGACTGAAATATGCAAGCAATTGCATTTGACATTATCATAAACAAAACTCAGAGTTACATCTTCTCTCAGTTTTACTTCTTCCTTCCCTTGCTTCCTGAGCCAGCATTTTCACATGGTCAATACTGTGTTGCATTCTCAAGAATAAGGATTTACTTTGTAGACAAAAAAAAAAAAAAAGTATTTAAACAGGAAAACACCTTCTAAATACTGTGGGTTTAAGTAAACAACTTCCAAAAACATGTTTAAAGATACTTGAAGTTACAAAACCAGATAATTCTAAACATCAGAAAAGTAAAACAATATCTTTATTCAGGAAAAGCCTATTCTGTATAACTGCAAAAACAGATGATTAATGATCATCTAGCACACTTTCATGATTAAAATCAATATATGTTCAAACACTAAGTCTTCAAAGTGTAGCAACTGTTCTAATTTCAACAGTACAAAGATGTGCATCCAGAACATTGTCCTGCACTGGTGCGGCCTCACCTTGATCTCTGTATGCAGTTTTGGGTACAACAGTATAAAAAGGACATAAAACTATTGAAGTGTGGTCAGAGGAGGGCTACAAAGATGGTGAAGACTCTAGAGGTGAAGATGTATGAGGAGCGGCTGAGGTCCCTTGGTTTGCTCAGCCCAGAGCAGAGCAGACTGAGAGGAGGCTTCATGGCGGCCTGCAGCTCCCTCACAAGGAGAGGCCTCATGGCGGCCTGCAGCTCCCTCAGGAGGGGAGCGGAGGGGCAGGCGCTGAGCTCTGCTCTCTGGGGACAGTGACAGGACCCGAGGGAACGGCATGGAGCTAGGACAGGGGAGGGTCAGGCTGGGGGTTAGGAAAAGGTTCTGCACCCAGAGGGTGGTCGGGCACTGGGACAGGCTGCCCAGGGCAGTGGTCATAGCACTGAGCCTGACAGAATTCGAGAAGTGTTTGGCCAACGCTCTCAGACATAGGGGCTGATTTTTGGATAGTCCTGTGTGGAGCCAGGAGTTGGACTTGATGATCCCTGTGGGTCCCTTGCAACCCAAGATATTCTATGATTCTAAGATTTCACTCTGGTTACAAAACGTTCTGAACAACAGAAATTATACTTCCTTATATAAATCTTCTATCTTCTTATGTTCTGCATCTCTTATACCCAGGTATAAATGGGTTTGGGCCTTCCATCACCTTTACTGACATGCTATGTCATAAACATTAAAATACCACGGTATTTTCCCCAATGAATTGGACTAGGAGGGTATTTTCCCCATATAATAACAGGATATATGAAAATATCTTCTTCAGATACAATAAAAATGCATCCTAATGTCCCACTACTTAGCATCCTTTTTTATAAAAATAAAATAAATTCTTCTAGTGATATGATGTATTTTGTACTGCTTTGAACTGCTATAAGCAGGAATACTGGAGAGAACTAGTTTGTTTTCCTGATGTTATATAATCTCATCTGGACTCCTGTACATGGCAGAGGCCATGAGATTGTCTCTAGTTATCTCTCTATTAAGTTTAATAACCTACTTTCAATTAATGTCCACATGTTGGACCAAACCATATTTTCCAGAGAGTCTTTGTCTGAAGACATCAGCACATGAGGTAATAGAGAATCAATTGGCTGTTAATTAACGAACATATTCACTGATTAATGCACGTACCTCCAATTTGTTAGGCCTTAACTTCCAGGCAAGGCCCACATTATAAACAATGCGAATTGTTTTTGTTGTTGTTGTTGTTGTTTTTGTTGTTTTTTTTTTTTTCTTTTGTGAAGGTATTTAAACAATTTGCTTTGGAATTTTAACAGTAAATCTCTTACTGAACAGGATTTTACAGTTTTGGGGTCGTGTACCCATTTTATGAACCTGTTCCTTTCTTCCAGAGTTCTTACTGAAGAGTTTACAGCAGATCCAAATTTTTAACTTTTTGTTGTGGTCCCACAAGTGCCACAGTGAGCGTTGAATTTCACCATTTACTCATACTCATCAATCCCCTGCTCGTGCATGTGAGGTCTGCACTTTCTTTTGCCACAAGACTACGTTAACAGTTTATGATGAGATGATTGTCCATTGTGACTGACAGACTTAGCAGTGCCCATTTTTTTCAGGACAGAGTTCTCCACTCTGTAGGCATGGACTACAACTTTCCTCTCAGATCTGTGAATTTATTTCCTTGATACAACCAAGCTTATTTTGCTTGAACAAGGTAGCAGGAAAATTTAGCAGGGTAGAACATTGCAATAACTCCAATGCAGCTGCCACTGTCATCACTGTAAATATATTATCAAAGATATGTATTTACCTTTCTAAATACTACTGCTACATTAACATTCCTCCGGGTTCTTTGAACTTCTTTGGCATGAGACAAGATGTTTGAGAAGTTAACATTGCTAAGCTACACAAACCAATTACCAGACAACATTTTAGGACAAGTTAGATGGCTTCACATTATTCAAAATATTCACTTTGCAACAGGTCTATTTGTGAAGATTTCTGCTTGACCCTGCTTATTATAAATCCCATATCAGTTTTCCCAGTTCAGTTTCTCTTTAAGAATTCTTAAAAACTTGTAAGGTATACTAACTGCTAGCTATTTCCTCTTTTTTTTTTTTTTTTCCTACTCTTTGTGGAACCAGTAAAGATCCTAAGCTGTTGGAGATTTAAAAAAATCTTTATAGTCTAGAGTGTGAAAGTCTAAAGTCTAGTTG